CAGTGAGTGTGGCAGCAACAGTGAGTGTGGGCTCTGCAATATAGGGCATAAGAAGTGAATGGGGGCTCTGCAATGTAGGGCAGAATAACTGAGTGGGGGCTCTGCAATGTAGAACAGAAGCAGTGAGTGGGGGTTCTGCAATGTAGGACAGAAAGGAGTGAGTGGGGCACAGAATAAAAGCAGTGAGTGGGTGCACAGAGTAAAAGTAAGTTAATGGGGGCACAGAGTAGATAAGCAGTGAGTGGGGACACAGAGTAGAGAAGCAGTGAGTGGGGGAAGGCAAGGCATGAGTAGTTAGTGGGGCTCAGAGTAGAGAAGCAGTGAGTGGGGGAAGGCATGGCAGGGGTGGTGAGTCGGGGCACAGAGAAGAGAAGCGTTGATTAGGGGACGGCGGGGCAGTGAGTGGAAGTAAAGAGAGAGAGAAGCGGAGGGAAGGCAGGGCAGGGGCAGTGAGGGGGCAGAGAGTAGAGAAGCAGTGAGTGGGGGAAGGCAGGAGCAATGAGTGGGGACATAGAGTAGAGAAGGAGTAATTAGGTGAAGGCAGGGGCAGTGAGTAGAGAAGCAGTGAGTGGGGAGGGCAGGAGCAGTGAGTGGGGGCACAGAGTAGAGAAGCGGTGATTAGGGGAAGGCAGGGGCAGTGAGTGGGGGCACAGAGTAGGGATGCCGTGAGTGGGGAGGGCAGGAGCAGTGAGTTGGGGCACAGAGTAGAATAGCAGTCAGGGGGGAGGCAGGCCAGAAGCAGTGAGTGGGGGCAGAGAGTAGAGAAGCATTGAGTAGGTTAAGGTAACAGAAACAAATATCAACTACACTTATATTAATTTGCAGTGAGTGGGGGCACCGAGTAGAGAAGCAGTGAGTGGGGGAAGGCAGGAGCAGTGAGTGGGGGCACAGAGTAGAGGACCAATGAGTGGGGGAAGGCAGGAGCAGGAAGTGGGGGGCACAGAGTAGAAAGCAGTGAGTGGGGGAAGGCAGGGCAGGAGCAGTGAGTGAGTGCACATAGTAGAGAGGCAGTGAGTGGGGTAGCTCCTAACTAAGTTTCTCTAAAAACTATCCTAGCTGCAGCCATTCAGCCAGAAGGAGAGGATCAGGGACTGGACACACTTACCTTCAGCTCAGTTTGGTGCTGGCTGAGGCTGATGGGAGTGGGAATGTGCAGTAGCTCATTCCTGCCTCTCCTCCTCATGCAGCTGCTTCCTGCCGCCTCCCTCCTCCCACGCGTTGGTCTCTTTTGAAGCTGGGAGGAAATGATGGGCTCCCACTTCCTCCCAGCCAGCTGATATTACAGGGGCAGAGTTGGCTCTTAAAGGGCCATGGCACCTGACCAGGCCCTGCGATACCCCGAAAGGCATGGGCCACCCAATAGGCCCCCCTAAATTGTTGCTGGCAGTGGGCCCAAAGGGTAGCTGCTTTGGGCCTCCGGGAGAAACTGGGCCAGGTGCAGCTGCCCTGTTTGCCCTGGGTTAAAGATAGCCCTGACTACTTGTTTTTGAATAGTTCTTTGTTTCTATGTGTGTTCTTTGCTGCTCTGGAGCGAAGTAAAGAAAGATATGCAAAATACTTGCCTCCTATCATTACTAAAATGAAGATTATAAGTACACTAAAGCTAGTATAATATCAATTTGCAACTATAGCTAGGTTGGAGAATTTTAAAACTATTTTGCCTAATTTTTGCAATTCGCTACAATTAGGTATTTAAACCTTTGTGTGTTTGTCTACCCTGATTGCATTATGTTGGCTGAAACTCTTCCAGACTAACTTAGAGAATAAATAGCTGTTAAGGTAACAGAAACAAAAATCAACTACACTAATATTAATTTGCATTGCACAAAAGTAAATTAAATAAATATAAGTTTCAAATACCCTGTGCTACTAGTAAAACCTCCAAAAATGTATGCCATTGTTTTAATTAGCTTTCATTAGACAAATAATATTTAAAATAGACTAATTAATTAACAGTGCAATGGACTGCATGTTTTTCACTTATACATACTAGGCTGTGCTCTATACACATTTATGTTGAATGAATAGAATTAGAATTTAACATATGATTTTCTGTTTTTATTAATAAAAAAAAAAAGTGAGCAGAATAAATTGCACACTTGCAGATCAGTTATTTATGTGATAGGAATCAAATCTGTGGGACTTACAATCCTGGTATGTGCAGATATTTTAACCCAACAAGCATTTTTGTGATAGGAAATGCATAGAATATATTGTTAAGCCTAAATTCTTTGTATACACAGGAGGCAGAGTGCAATAGCAAATATTTATTTGATCCAGCTTCACAGAACTCATTTCAGTAGAAAATACATCTCTAAATCAGTAACTGAATAATAATTTGTCTGATTAGCATATCAGCACAATCCTATGCATTTGACATACCATGGTATTCAGGAATATTTAAACAAATGAAATGAAGCATAGAAAATTTTGAAAAAATGTTACCCTTTTATACATTATTGATGGCTTTGTTTGATGACTATAATGTTACTGAAAAAGGTGACTATCGAAAAAAGAATCAAAAAGTTTAAGATGTTACTGTTTTACAGTGCGAGATGTGATTTGACAATATTTTGTACACATTTGTTGTGTATGTGTGATCTGTTTTAACGCACTCAAATTGAAAGTCAATTTGAATTATTTGGAAGTGGATTTGGTTAATGTTATTATTGGCTTTTCTATAGCTCCAAATTATTCCACAGCACTTTACAATATTATAAAAGGGAAAATTTAACAATAAATTAGACAATTACAAATTGTTACAGACGCAATAGGTTGATGAGGACCATACTCGCAAGAGTTTGCAATCTGGAGGACCTTAAATGTTGGAAAATGTGTTACAGAAAAGTAAACTAAAAATAACTCACTTGCATAAATATTTAATACTACCTTATTAATTACTCCAAAACTGAAGTAAAAATACTGAAATGAAACATATAGAAACACATGAAAGAAAGAGAAGAGGCAGAGGATACTATGTACTCTATATTTGATGGAATACTGAAAAAATATATTTATATACACTAAAACGTAACTTTTAATAAAAGTATAAATCCCTAAAAGGTCTCATAAGACAAAAAAGACTGACTACAACACAAAACTAATTGTACTAAATATACATACACACAAAACAAAAAATAATTAAAATGACAGAGGCTGGTCCATACTGCACCAAAAAAGTAAAAAGTCCCTAACACAGATATAGTGTAAATCACTAAATCATATGTCAGTTAAACTGTTTGGTAACAGAATATCAACTGACATAAAAGTAAATTATAGGTACTTGCTGGGTGGCCACCAGTGATAATACTGATTCTATTAACAACTAAGTATCTCAGTCGCTATAGGAATGTAACCAAAATGTAACAAAAGTAGCTGTCAGCGTCTATGAGATAGATATCTGATAAAGAGTCTGACGCTGAAGGTGGAAATCCCTATAGTTAACCAAATGTAAAGCAGGATAGGGTCGCGGGGATAGGGTAGCTCTGATGAGCTGATTTAGCGAAACATGCGTCAGGGGCTCTGGGGCATTGCTGTGTCCATAATACTGCTTGCAGGGATCTCTGATTCCTTTGAAATTTTTTTTTTTTTTGGTATCTCTTTTCATATCCGTTATGAGACCGATTGCAGTAGCGGGTGGAGTAGTTTTTTATCTAATACTAGGGTCATTTGTGGTGGGATAAGGGGTGCCCTCGAAGGCACAATAGGGATAGTGATTGTGTTAATTCCTTTTTTGTTGCATGTAGAAACACATATTTATATACATAAGCACATAAACTCATGCACACAGTAACACTCTGACCTCTCCTTCATGCCTCATGTTCATTCTATCGCCAAATCCTGTCGATTCCATCTCAAAAACATTGCGCGCATCCGACCTTACTTAACGCCAGATGCAACTAAGGTGCTGGTCCATTCCATTGTCCTTTCTCGCCTTGACTACTGTAATCCGCTTCTCAGTGGTCTTACGTGCTCCCAACTTGCGCTGTTACAGTCCATAATGAATGCTGCGGAGAGGCTCATCTTCCTATCTGCCCGCACCTCCCACACCTCACCCATCTGTCAGTCCCTACATTGGCTTCCTGTAAGATATAGAGCTCAATTTAAAATTCTGGTTCTTGCTTTCAAATCTCTACATAATGCTGCTCCCACCTATCTATCCTCCCTAATACACAAGTATGTCCTGTCTAGGCACTTACGCTCCGTTTATCTTCTGTCCGTACTCCCACCTCTGATGCTCGCCTTCAAGACTTCTTGAGGGCTGCACCGTTCCTGTGGAACTCGCTTCCCTCCTCCGTTAGATGCTCACCCAGACTCCACTCCTTAAAAAATCATTAAAAACACACTTCTTCATAAAAGCGTATCAATTAAACTGTTAATAGCTCCCGACTGATTCCTCTCTTGCAATTGTCACTACTCTAATACTATCCTTACCTTTTTGTGTCACTTTACCCCACTCCCTCTAGCATGTAAGCTCATTGAGCAGGGCCCTCAACCCCTCTGTTCCTGTGTGTCTAACTTGTCTGGTTACAACCAGGGGCGGACTGAGAGCCTTTGGGGCCCCCGGGCAAAATTAGATCCCAGGCCCTTTGAAGGCCAAATATATGTGCATTAAATAAATGTTAAATATAACTCATAATACAGCATTCCTTTGGATGTGTATATTGTGAAGACCTGTGTATCAATGCATGTTTGTATTTGAGTCTGTGTGAATGCACTTGTGCATGTCGGGATGACTACATGTGCTTTTTTGTATATAGTGTATGTGTGAATGCATATGTGACAGGTGACAGTGTGTGAGGGAGAAGGTGACAGGTGGAAGAGTGTGGGAGGTTGTGACAGGTGGCAGAGTGAGGGGGTACCTGGTGGCAGAGTGAGGGAGGGAGGGGTTGAGTGGTGGCAGAGTGAGGGGGAGACACAGTGAGTGGGGGTGACTAGTGACATAGGGAGGGAGAGGGGGTGACTAGTGACAGAGTTAGGGAATGGGTGACTAGTGGTAGAGTGAGGGAGGGAAAAGATGACTAGTGGCAGAGTGAGGGAGGGAAGGGGTGACTGGTGACACAGTGAGGGGATGACTGGTGACAGAGTGACAGAGTGAGGGAGTGACTAGTAACAGAGGGAGGGAGTGACTAGTGACAGAGGGAGGGAGGGAGGGGGTGACTGTCACTAGTCACCCCATCCCTCTCTCTGTCACTAGTCACTCCCTCCCTAACTCTGTCACTGTGTCACCTGCTCCCTCACTCTGTCACTAGTCACCCCCTCCCTCACTCTGTCACTAATCACCCCCTCTGTCCCTAGTCACCCCCTTCCACACTCTGTCACTAGTCACCCCATCCCTCTCTCTGTCACTAGTCACTCCCTCCCTAACTCTGTCACTGCGAAGGAAGTAAGGGGTGACTGGTGATAGAGTGAGGGGATGACTGGTGACAGAGTGAGGGAAGGGATGACTAGTGGCAGAGTGAGGGAAGGAAGGGATGACTGGTGACAGAGTGAAGGAATGACTGGTGACAGAGTGAGAGAGGGGGTGACTAGTGACCGAGTGAGGGAGGGAGTGGGTGACTAGTGACAGAGTGAGGAAGGGGGTGACACAGTGATAGTCACCCCATTCCTCCCTCTGTCACTAATCACCACCTCCCTCACTCTCACTAGTCACCCCATCCCTCCCTCACTCTGTCACTAGTCACACCCTCCCTCTCTCTGTCACTAGTCACACCCTTACTCGCTGTCACTAGTCACACCCTCCCTCTCTCTGTCACTAGAGTGAGGGGGTGACTAGTGACAGAGTGAGGGGGTGACAGGTGACAGAGTGAGGGAGTGAGGGAAGGGGTGACTAGTGGCAGAGGGAGGGAGGGGTGACTAGTGACAGAGTAAGGGGATGACTGGTGACAGAGTGAGGGAGGGGGTGACACAGTGACGGAGGGAGGTGGTGACTAGTGACAGAGTGAGGGAGGTGGTGACGGTCACTAGTCACCACCTCCCTCACTCTGTCCCTAGTCACCCCTCCCTCTGTCACTAGTCACCCCTTCCCTGCCTGTCACTAGTCACACCCTCACTCTGTCACTAGAGTGATGGGGTGACTAGTGGCAGAGTGAGGGAAGGAAGGCGTGACTAGTGACAGAATGAGGGAGGTGGTGACTGTCACTAGTCACCAGCTCCCTCTGTCACTACTCCCTCCCTCCTTCTATCACTGGTCACCCCCTCCGTCCCTCACTCTGTCACCAGTCATCCCCTCCCTCTGTCACTAGTCACCCCCTCACTCTAGTGACAGAGTGAGGGAGGGTGTGACTAGTGACAGAGAGAGGGAGGGTGTGACCAGTGACAGAGTGAGGGAGGGTGTGACTAGTGACAGAGAGAGGGAGTGGGTGACTAGTGACAGAGTGAGGGAGGTGGTGATTAGTGACAGAGGGAGGGATGGGGTGACTAGTGACAGTCACCACCTCCTTCACTCTGTCACTAGTCACCCCCTCCCTCACTCTGTCATTGTGTCACCCCCTCCCTCACTCTGTCATTGTGTCACCCACTCCCTCCCTCACTCTGTCACTAGTCACCCCCTCTCTCACTCTGTCACTAGTCATCACCTTCCTTACTGTCACTAGTCACACACTCCCTCTCTCTGTCACTAGTCACACCCTCCCTCTCTCTGTCACTAGAGTGAGGGGGTGACTAGTGACAGAGGGAGGGGATGACTGGTGACAGAGTGAGGGAGGGGGTGACTAGTGACAGAGTAAGGGACGGAGGGGGTAACTAGTGACAGAAGGAGGGAGGGAGTAGTGACAGAGGGAGGTGGTGACTAGTGACAGAGTGAGGGAGCTGGTGACTAGTGACAGTCACCACCTCCCTCACTCTGTTACTAGTCACGCCTTCCTTCCCTCACTCTGCCACAAGTCACCCCTTCCCTCACTCTGTCACTAGTCACCCCCTCACTCTAGTGACAGAGTGAGGGAGTGTGTGACTAGTGACAGAGTTAGGGAGGGAAGGGGTAACTAGTGACAGAGGGAGGGGTGACTAGGGACAGAGTGAGGGAGATGGTGACTAGTGACTAGTGACAGTCACCACCTCTGTCACTAGTCACCACCTCCCTCCCTCTGTCACTGGTCACCCCTTCCTTCCCTCACTCTGCCACTAGTCACCCCTTCCCTCACTCTGTCACTAGTCACCCCCTCACTCAAGTGACAGAGTGAGGGAGGGTGTGACTAGTGACAGAGAGAGGGAGCGTGTGACTAGTGACAGAGTGAGGGAGGGAGTGACTAGTGACAGTGAGGAAGGGGGAGACTAGGGACAGAGTGAGGGAGGGGGTGACTAGTGACAGTCACCATCTCCCTCACTCTGTCACTAGTCACCACCTCCATCACTCTGTCACCTGTCACCCCCTCACTCTAGTGACAGACCACTGGCGTACATACCAGGGTCGCTGACCCCGGGTGGCCGGTCGGGCAGGCAGGCGGGCGCGCGAGGGAGCACTCAGTGCTTCCTCTTCAGCTCCCTCGCGCACCGCAATGATACCGGAGCCGGAAGATTACGTCATCTTCCGGCGCCGGCATCCCTACGCGGCGCGCGGGAGCTGAAGAAGAAGCACTGAGTGCTCCCTCGCGCGCCCGCCTGCCTGCCCGACCGGCCACCCGCCCAGGAGCCCCACTGGACCCCAGGGAATAATCCCCCCCCAGCACTCCAAGAGGTAAGGAGGCTGGGGGGATTATATATAAAAAATAAAAAAAAATCATGTGTGTGTGTTAGTGTGAGTGTTAGAGTGAGTGTTAGAGTGAGTGTTAGTGTGTGTGAGTGTTAGTGTGTGTGTTAGTGTGTGTGTGAGTGTTAGTGTTAGTGTGAGTGTTAGAGTGAGTGTTAGTGTGTGTCTGCTAGTTAGTGTGAGTGTTAGTGTCTGCTAGTGAGTGTGAGTGTTAGTGTGTGTGAGTGTTAGAGTGAGTGTTAGTGTGTGTGTCTGCTAGTGAGTGTCAGTGAGTGTGTTACTGTGTGTGTCTTACTGAGTGTGTGTGTTAGTGAGTCTGTTTGATGTCTGTTAGTGAGTGTGTTTGTCAATGAGAGTGTATGTTTTGTAAGTGAGTGTGTATGTATGTCTGTCGCTGAGTGTGTCTCTGTCAGTAAATGTGTGTGTCTGTTAGCTAGTGTGTATGCGTCTGTAATGTGTGTGTGTGTCTTCAGCACTTAACTTTCTCCAGCGCCGGACTCCCTTGGCGCTGG